TATACCCGGGGGTCTTTGAACTAAACGAAACTTTACGTGGTCCGGTAGTTTTTCAAGTATATAGTTTATTAACGACTAATTTAAGTTTAGATAGAGCGGCGTAACTAACTTGCCGAAAACACGACACGTGTTATTCAATAATTAATCAATTCTACTTCATTTCCTCTCTCTTTTTTGTATAGCTCTACCTCTTTCTATTTTGCTTTACTCGTCCCTGCTTGTCTTGACATACCTTCGTCACGGGACAGGTTAAGTACTAATTAACTTAACGAAGTGCGAAGAGTTTATTTCTAGGAAATACCATATTGCAATCCTTTCTAACAAAGGCGGCTAACAATATTATATAGTATGCATATAAATTGTGCAGAAAGCTCTCTAGCTCTGAATAATAATTAATTATGCGAATTTAATTATAAACTTAAATAATTATACAACTACTGCGGAAAATAAATAACAGTATACTGCTCTTAAAAACGTCGGTTTTTCCGTAATGTCCTTTTTGAGTTACCAAAATTTCTAATTACCTGGTATAAGACATTAAATACATTAAAAATAATTATGTACCCATAAGTTATACATTAAAAACATTTTTTTTTTGGTAAAATATTGCCTGTATTTTGCCCTTTAAAATTTGTTTTAAGGATGATGCTGAACGATGCTAAACATTTATTTAAAACATTTTTAATTTTTAATTTATTTCATAAATCAGTAATCACTCTAGATAAATATTATATTTGTTATTATTAATATTATATGTATATATATATATGTGTGTGTGTGTGTGTGTGTATTATATATTAATATTTTTTAATATGTTTTTGGCTGAACAAGCTCTACATATACAGGAGTTTTTAAGAAATACTTTTGGCAAAATTACATTTCTACGAAATGTCTAGTAGATGTTTTATATTATCCTAGAGGTACACGTGTATTCCGGGAAGGTATTTCTCTTATAACGTTAAATTTTTAAAATACTGAAATATCTGTTGAAATAAACTATTGTTAATAACTTCTCGAGAGCAGTTTTACTACGTCGTAGAGGTAAAGTGGGTCAACATGCTTTCTTCACGTTATGTAAAAACCAAACTCGAACTTGTAAAAAAATCTTTTATATTTCGCATTACCATACAAGATTTTTCCCATATAAGATGTAACACAGCAATATTCTAAAACATTTTTTGAGAATAATACAAAAATTAATTCATTTTACTCGATTAATTTTGCTGAAACCGAATGGGGTTACACTTTTTTATAAATTGTTGCAAAAAGTTGTAAAAAAATAGTTTTATAATATTTTTTAATGTTTATTTAAAAACATTTTAAAATTTATTGTAAATATAGAGATGTTACACGTAAAAAAAAAATATCATTTTTATTCTGATTTCAACATCAAAGAGAAATAACAAACCAACACGTTATAGTGATAAAAATTGAAACTAAAAAATTAATAATAAATCAGATATTTCATTGTTTTAGTCTTAAAATATCAGAACACACATGTCTGTTCATCTTTAAGTCTTGTGTCTAAGGATACTCCTATTGATGGGTTTATCTGATACCTCGAAAGTGATCAACTCAACTCTATAGACAACAAAGGTATAGTGTAGACAAAACCAATAACGTTAATGAAGTTGTAATTTCATGACATTTTTATTATATTGGCCTTAAGGATGTTCAGAAAATTTTGAACATCCATTTTGTTGAGATACTTTATATTCTTACAGCAATTGATACTAAAAAGTAGTAAAAATTTGAATAATCGCTGGTCCCTACAAACCAATGGTAGACAACCTGTATACATATAATAGTCGTAATGCTGAAATGTATGAGCTAATTATTTTGGTCTCAAAACCGTATAATTTATTTCGTTTGTGCAGAAATAGCGCATAATTAAACTGTCAAGCACATGCAAAACCGTGATTTAAAAAATTTTCTTATAATGCGATTTTTTACCCTTATTGACAAGTACACAAGTCTTTGCCGGATTCAAACCACCCGTCTTCGGTGCAGACTATATTTTTATGTGATATCAGCCACCCGAAGGCTTTGTGCGAATTTTCGATTTATTCCTTATTTTATAATTTAAAAAATATTATTCACGTCTGATAAAAAAATATCGTCGCGTTGTCGCGGATGATCGAATTCGTCTCTTCGGTTCTGGGTATATATAATTTCCTAAAAACGTCCCTTTGTGAGCTTTTGACATGCCTTTGTACTTGGAATTTTCGAATGAAAAGCGAACCTTCGCTGTCATTCTCGTCTGATCGCTGTCGGTTAGGGCTTGAGCGAGATTCCGCCCTGTGTATAGTGATAACTTTGGACTAGTTTGCTTTTAGTGTACTCGTTTTATTAGAAATGTTCAGTACAGCTAGTTGGAGAGGGGGGGTGAGGGATGACAAAGGATGTTTAATTTCGAATGACCTACTTTTGACGCCCTAAAAAGTCTTTGATCCTCTTTTTCAAAAAAAAAAGGAAAAACGCAATAAAGACCATAATAAGCTGATTTTAATTATACTCGAAAAACTACTAAAATGTATTCGAGTGACGTCAATTCAAGAATTGTCGATATGCCTCTAAAAAAGAAAACTTAATAGCAAAAATAAATATATATTTTTTCATTATGTTATATAATAGCAGCTAATATAATATTTGGAATACATTTAATTTTTTTACAAATGTAGTTCAACTTCTATACGAATTTAAAGAGCAAAATAACTGTTTGAAATTATGCAGTATAATGTTCTTATTATTAATTGCCTATTCTATTGATTTCGACTTACTGCATACTATTGATCCGAATTTTGCAATAATATATTTGTTTGTATCTTTACAATATTAGGTTTCACATATAACGTGTTCATAATAAGCAACAACTATTTTAACAGATATTGTGAGTGAAATTAATAGTTTAATAGAGATAAAAAAATCAGTATGCAAGTTTTCAAGTACATATTAGAAGTAAATTAATTTTAACATTATAACTTTTACGATTTTTATCAGAGTAAGTAACGTAGCAGCATTATTATAATGCTGCAGTAAAGGTAGCATTTTTTATTTAAAAAACAAAGGTTTTTAATTAGAACTTTAATTTATATTGGCTCTTTTGTATTGTTTTTATAGTTTGTTTTCAGCTTTCCATAAAACTTATCGAAGCAATTAAAAACTTCATAAATATTTAAATGTTTGCGAAGAAACGGGACGGCCACATTTTGGTTATAACTGGAATCTGTATACACTGTACACCCATGCAATTCTTTTTTTTTTTTTGTAAGCTGGAATAATTTACCTGGTATGAACACGCCTCAACAAAAGTCTGAGTTTTAAAAATTTGGTCCTATACATATTGTTTTTTATTTACAATGGTTATTCCGATGAATAATCAGAATTTTCGTCCCGCTTCGATTTTAATTAAACCATCATATTTGAATAAAATCAATACTCCCATTTTTTCGTCTTAAAGTACCTAAATTTCATTTTGTTCGATTACAGTCAATGTTGTCATCTTCACAATATTTGAGGAGAAACATACTTGACCGTAGCGTTTCTCGTTTTCTATGTATTGTACTGTTATAATGCAATTGTACAAGAATTTATTCAAGAGAATTTTCAGTGGGTACCTAACTTGAAAGGTTGCTAAAATCACTTTTAGAAAAACGCTTCGTTCCGAATTTTAAGATGGTTAAGCATACAACATATAGGTACATAATATGGTTTATAATATTGCAATAGAACCATCAAATTGTTGATTCCAATATTATAAGTAATTTGTTAAAAAAAAAATTATACAGCATTAATGTATATATTGTTTTTAAGAAATGCGTATTTTATATTATTATAACATACACATTCTAGACCTACTTTCATTCTAATTTTGAAACTTCAAGTCCAAAAAACGAAACAAAGCATAAATTACCAACCCTTTTACTCTACAGTAATATTATGTATGATACCAGTGTTTCGCTAAACAATTTTAAAGTATATACTTTTAAAGGGTAGTTTAAGACTTGCTGCATTGCAAATATTTTTCGGTTTATCAGCATATTTATACCGTTGGATGTGAGTTACCCGAGCAGAAAACCCGCAGAAGAAAGGAATGCGTTTTGTAGGGGTCCTACTAATATTGTATAGATATAAGTAGAAAATAGAAGCAGTCAGTCGTGATGGAAACCCGATCCTCTGTATACTATAAGACCTGGTGGGTTATACAAGAAAATATGGAGAGAAAAAAAGTGAATAAATGAAAACAAATACTAAAAAAAAAACACGAGTGATTTCTAAGAAAATATTCTTTATTTTTCGATTGCAAAATTGTTTTAATATTTATGAATTTAAATTCCAACCGAATACCGATGTTATTTTGACTTCAACCAAACGAATAAAATATATTAACTAGGCGAATGTAAATATAAATAAAGCCACACGTTCAAATTTATTTTTCATTTCGTTGAAAATATTATAACTTTCCCACTACGCCGTTAGGGATGTCATAAAAATGTTTAATGCTAAAAAGAAATAGATCATAAGTTAAACATAATAGTAATATCTCATAGATAAGCTAGGTTTGACGTTTCGGTAAGAAACTGACTTGCCGAAATTACAATGCCTCGAAACTTAGATATTGTTAATTATTAATTGGTCGCCGGTTTATTTGATAATCGTCTCTAAGGATCAAAGTACAGAAATGATATTTTGTCTTTGCCTTAATTATTGTTTTATATTTGTTCGTAGCAGTTTAAGTACAGGAATCCTGTAAAATACGCGATGATACCAGCATTTATTCTTGCTGTTTATATATCTAGCTGATAGTTATATTTTGGTAAAGTCAATAAGTGAAAACGTTTGGATGTCATTATTATAATTTTTTTTTTTAATGTATATTCATATTTGTATACAATTTTTTGAATACAAATCATAAATATGATAATACTAATACTTAAGGTTAAAATTAAAATAATTTTACAATTACAATTTAAGTATAATTTTATCGTAAAACTAAAATAATGTATACAGTAATAATAATAATAATTAATATTTTTACGCTAAAACGAAATAGTGTTGTTTGTTTTTGTATAAATAAATTAATTTTGCGAAAACCTGTCGTATTTATATTATGGTTATCAGAACGGCAAACGCGCTAGTGACAGTTGTAATAGGTTAGTATTGTTTTTCACTAGAGCTTAAAGTATAATATAATATGTAGGTATACTATGTAGGTATAAGAAAAATGTATACCCTGCGCGGTGCAGAGCTTAACGTTTGTTTTGTTGCGTTAGCACAACTCCTATATAAAGAGCGAATGAACGTAAAATGAAAAAACAAATCGTACGCAGCAAAGCACAACCGGGGCCGGAAATTTGGGGAGTAGGGCACGCGCCGATGAGCTACTATTTTTGCCCAGGATCACAACAGCCACCACCGTGTCTCTGGACGGACTGAACCGAAGACGGTCGACTGGATATCCTGGCTGTAGCCGATCAGTGCCAAAGCCTGTCTCTTTCCAATTTCTGGCCAATGCAAACGGTCGAGTTTGCTCGCGGTGTTTAGACGTTTTAAGTACGACCCGCTCGTTAGATAGAAGTTGTTCTAACAGTGACACCCTGACTGCAGGACGTGTCACCTGTATAATATAATTATAATAAAGTATATATATATATATATATAAATATTTATTTAGTAGTTTAAAATAATTAATCATAATATTAATGATAATAATGATAATGATAATGTAGATAATGTGGGAGGGGAGAAAAGCAATAATAGTATAGTGGTCGCGCGGTGTACGATTGGCAGAATCAACACAAAGTTCTTGGGTTTATAATTGTCGCAATGATGTAGTAAGAGTTATTTATCATGAGTATGTACAATAGATAGAAACGTATTTGTTTGCCGGAAAATCGTGTGAAAACACAAAATGTCTAAGTCGACCGTTTGCAAAGTACCGCGTGTTCGGGAAATCGTTTGAATAAATTAAACTATTGATCGACGGCCGGACGAGGTAGGTAATATTTCATCTCTAATGTATAACAGCTATCTCCAAGCGGCAAAACTATAATACACGTTTGTTATCCAACCAGAACACCGATAAACCCACAGATGGTAATTAATAATTATTGAAATTCGTTATTTTATTCGGGAATTGACGGTTTGCACGTTTTCGACTTCCGGTCGTCTTTAATGTCTTTATACCGATTTATTGCAAACATATTGTTATGAATAGTTTTCAAATAAGTTACACACACATGCCGACCGTGAACTCGAGATGTATATAATACTACAGTATATTATTTTAATCTAAACAAATTTTACACAAAAAAAAACCATTATCAAGTACCCAAAACAAATTTATAATATTATCTTATCGCGGATGTCCGAAACGGCACGTGTGCAACGTCTGAAGTGCAGCAAAATATTATAGTTTCTATTATTTTTGTTCGCCTACGCTACTACTTAAGATTAATCAAAAATCGATACACATAAGAGTTTTTATGGCCTATTTTTTTTATTATGCTACGCCGTCCGTCTCATTAGTATATGCGCGTACGTTACACAATCGGCTAAGCCCAAAAATTTACCTATGTCCGGTTCGATATTTTGAGACGTATAAAGCGGTCATACAACAGTTTGTGCTTTTAAACAATTATTTTCAGAAGGACGGAAGTTTATAAGACTAGGTGGGAGGGACCAAGAGAATAGCGCACAGGCAGATCGAGTGATATTCAACGGGATGACTATTTTCTACTTCTCTAAAGTCGTTTGATGCGATTATTTACATAATTTTCATCTGACGGGTTATCTAGTGTATTTCGTATTGAATTATTATTATATTTATTGCAGTTTAACGATGGCTAGTACATACATGATGTGTGAATGCTAATCATTCTGTCTGTGCACTATCCTCGAGCTAGGGTCATAAAACTTATAATATCTTTAAATTAAATTTATGTTGTTTTTTATACAAAATAGAAGACTAAAACACATGGAATATTACTTAACTAATATTTGTCTAGTATGCAGGGTTGAACAAAAAAATAATCGATTTCGGAAATTGATCATGCCCCCCATTTTATAAATATTTATATTGCAATCCGGTACGCTTTTTGACTTTGCCTCGGCTTGGTGTAAAGAGGCAATGCCTGATAAAAGTTGTGGTGTGCTTAGTTGATTCGGCCCTTATGCGTCAAGAAGCATCTGGTGGGTGCACCGGTAATGACGTGGTGAGCCGCGGGATCGTCCACGCTTTTGACCATTCGCTTGGCCCGATAGCACATGACCGTCAGCGCCAAGCTGAGGAAGCACAAGATGGTGGAGGCTAGTGCCAGAAGACCGGCTAGCAGACCGGATCGCACACACACCGAGTTCTGGCTATTGTCCGTGTAGTACCCGGTAGTTCCTGCAAGAGTCATTAGTTATTAGCACCAAACAATAACACAGATTCTCAAATCATTTGCAAAAGACGGAGAGCTATTTTCCTTCCTCTCTGCATTCGACAACTATTTGAACCGAGTCTAAACCTTCCCTAACTCTTCGGACTACTCAATCCTCAGCGTGCTTCAAAAGCAATTATCACAATAGCTGTCCATTTAGTTGTGAATGATTTAATATTAAAATTATTGTAAAAAAATTTAGAAAAAATTAACTAATTTGGCTACAATGGACTCATTTTGTGGTGACACTTACTGTTGCTAAGGGCGGCTGCGTCTTCGCTGTTTTCGCCTTCTTGGAGTACCCGGAGCGATTGGAACAAGTTGATATTTTGTGATAAAGCCGCTGGGGTGGTGGCGACTTCTACGTCCGTCGACCGTTTAGCAACGCTCTTGGCGTTCCTCCAGTGACACGGTTGGCTCTGCAAAGACAGTGGACACATTGATTAACCGCTCGACTTAATGATAATTTGCCAAGTCTAACACTTACCGGACATCTTCCGTGGCACATTCGAACGTCACACTCGATGTACAGGGCAGGTGAACCCGTGAACCGGAAAGTTTTCATGTAGGCGAACACTTGAGTTTCGAATACTTGACTCTCGCTCCACGATCCCCGGAAACGGCTGATGAGCTTGTCGTCGACGGGACAACTGCCAAAAGGAATACTAGTGTTAAATTTCCGAAAACAACACAACAAAAGACTCTGTAACTTACCCGTACTGATCGATGAGTTGAATTTTTTTCTGGGCTCCGTTGTGTGCGTAGCAGTCGTTGACAACGATATCAAATCCGTCTATACAACAAAACCCAACATTAGTATTTTTATTCAGTCGCGACTAAATTATTCTCATTTGGCGAGGCGCAACAGGGCAGGCAACGCCACGACGTGCCCGTCAAACTGTGTGCCGGTCTACTCCTCGCCAAGCCAAAGTACAATGGTAACCAGCCGTTTTCTTACCGTATTTGCTCCTCATGTAGATGATCAACGTCAACGGGTCACCGACGCGCACAGGTCCTCCAACCCGGTTACCTGTCGTACCATAACCGTACCGGATTTCCATATAACACTCTGGTGGTGACAACGTGAACACCACAGGATTGCCCGTAGCCACTCTGTAAAATAAACAAAGTCGTTAGTTAATGTAACAACGGTCGCCAATAGATAGGACAAAATGAGAAGGTTGGAAATAAAGAGCTCAGTTAGCAACTTTGGGAGATTTCAAGAAGATCAGGCATCGTGTAAATTGATGCTGGTGAGGTCGAAATGAAAACCATAACGCGGTTTTGTAAAAAAAAAACAAGGGAAATAGAACTTAACGTAAAGGTACGTACTCGACGTCCAAAAATGGGAACGTGACGGTCTTCCAGAAATCATAACCGTATTCGCAGGTCACCTTGAAGTGTTCGTCCCATTCTTCTTCGATCATCGGGTTGTACTGTACGGTCACGGTGTTCCACATGAGATTTTTCTGTAAACAATTTTTTAAAAAAACAAGGTCTGATTAATTAGTATAACTACTAGATTGTGTATTTCAAGTCGAGATTTTCTAATGCGTTTGGGGAGGCACTGCTATTATGTATGGCTTTTCCGAGCACTATAATATTATGTACGTTGACCATTAGGTACATGTGGTACATTTGTAAAACGATTGGACATGTCGCGAACGAATGGCTGTAACATATTAAGGATTTCGCGGTGTGTCGCATCGACATCATAGTGAACCTATAATTATAAACACAAGCAGCATATGTTTCGTTGCGCTTTCGGGCCGTTTTTTTAAATTTCAGTCAATGATCGATGTGCTGTAACGCAACAATGGTCAACAGTTGTACGCGTACCAAACAGCGATGCAGCTAAGGAGAAGCCTCATTCACGGAGCTAGTGTCGATTTGTTCTGAATGGTTGTTGCTGTTTTTTTTTTGTTCCACAAATTACGAGAAGTTCCATTGTCGAATAATGGAGATGTGGAAAAAAATCGTTTTCCGGTCATACATTAGAGGGCAAGCGGAAAAAAACCCGGCAACATGACGGAAGTCGAATTAAACGTATACAATATAATTTTTTTTTTAAAGAAAAAAAACATTAAATGGCTAATTAATTTATAATATACCGCGGTAACCCGTGGCAATAAAAATTACTCGTTGTACCGACTATGTAGAGGGATGCTGGGAAATCTTTGACACCCACGGGTTACATTTTGTATTATCTGGGGTGCTAATAAAACCATTAAGAGTTTGTGCGAATAAGAATCCTCATTGCTGTAATGTTGAGTATACACTATAGTTTAAGTTCAAAAATGAATTTGCGAAAAATTGCCTATATTTCACTCCTTAATAAATGAGTGAGTATAGGCACCCTTTTAAAACTGTTTCTGTGGGACAATTTTACTAAAAATGTCACTAGGCTTAAGTCAACGGCGCTAGCTTAAGGGTTCTTCTCTCTCTTATACACTCTCAATAACCACTCTGACTCAATTATCATCCTATTCATTTTTCTCATAATCTTATTCTTATGATCACTTACCGCTGGGTTCTTTCTGGCGTCCTCTTGTCTGGAGTTCTTGCCCAACGTACCGCACCGGTTGAGTTGGATGTAAAATTCGTAGTAATCCCTGCCGGTGCCGTTAATGTAAACACAGTCTGGGTCGTACGAATAGCCCGACGAGTACAGCAGACCGCCGAACGAGCCATTGAAACCGATACGAATTTTCATGTAGTCGTCCTGACATTCGGCCTCGATATCTGAAACAGTTTTGTTGGCGGTTAACAAAAAGAAAAAAAAAACATTTAAAACATTAGAGATTTTTCACCGGGAACACAAATGCATCGTCCACATAATATTATTACACATATGTATGTATATATTTATAAGCACCCGGGATTCATAGATTATGTTTGTAACATTACGTCTAGATCCATTAAATGTGTGGTATAATAATTTGCCCACGGTTGGGAAACCGTACGGCTTGAACTCGGTTACTTAGTGTTGTGTCACATGCAAAATCTCGGCGCCATCGCACTTATTATTATTACTATTATTTATTATGCCGTTTAGCGAGTTCTCTTGCGGAATTATTAGATTCCATTACTCACCTGTCGGAGTTCTAACGAATTCTTCGGTTTACCTTATTAATGCCTCCGTTATTATTAGTATTATTATTATTATTATGAGTGATCGACGAGTTTTACCATTTCAGCCGCGTTCCTATAACCTACTTATCTAATGACTCATTGTCATCCGGAAAATTTCTGCTGCTTGTTTTTTATTGCAATCTATTTTCTTAACAAGGTTATATTAAAAACGTTACCGAACCCGTGCAAACTGTAATGTACCGCTTATATACAGATTGTAGGCGTGATATCAAGTCAAAATGAAATATTACCAAAACGTTTGTTCTTCGGGTCAGGTTATGCTAAATTATTGTAGAATTTTTTTTTCGCAACCGAGTTAAACACATTACACCACAGTCGGTTCACTTCTACGGCAGCTTTTTTTTAATAGCTAGTCCATTTGTCATTTTTCCTTTTTCACTGTAAACCGCAATCATTATGCACCTTAATTTATAACCCGGTTCGTACGTCAGCTTAATCTTGAACAGCCATTTTTGATAATTATAAGAAAAGAACAGGGAACAAAATAATATGATTTTACGTAATCATACCATTACTACAGTTCTTAACTACAGACTATTCTTAATATTTTGTAAGGTTTATGCCAACACCAAAAATCTAAATGAATCTTACACAAACGAATTATAAAGATTAAACGTAGAACTTATGTTGAATGAACAAAACTTGACATGGTTAAAGAAGTAAAAAATCACATTATTTTGGCTTTTTTTAATTTTTTTCTTTTATTAACCGTTTTTGTTATTATTTTGAATAGAATTAAAAAATGTATTCCGAAATGTTATTATTTTGTTTCATGTTTAAACAACCACCGATGGATATTTGAAGCGTTAGGCCTTTAGTAAAGTTCAATTAGGTTCTTTGGACAGGATATCATTTTGTCAGGTATGAGTTGAGTTGGATGAGTAGGTTAATCTATGCGGGCCAAATTCTGTGTACAATTGTATTGCTAACAGGTACGGTGGAGGGAAGAACAATCATTTAAAAAAATATGTATTATTATCTATGACTCGTTATCAATGGCAAAAAAGTAGACAGCACGTAAGAGTGTTTATAGGTTTTTTTTATAATAATGTTATTAAACGTGCAAACACTATTACAACAAGCGTATCGACATGTAGTATTATATGTTTTAATGTACCTACGTCTGTATGGCTACAATATATAATAGTTTTTCTTTTGGTACATTTACTAATTGTGTTTTTCATTTTTTTTTTTTTATTATGGAGAATATAGTTGAGATAATAATATTATAAGTGTGGCTGCAGTAGCACGTCGCCGAGCTATGCACTGATCATTGTCCGCCATAATAACCACCATAAACGTAGGTTTGTAAAATTATTATACCATTATAAAATAGTGTAAAATTATTATCACACATACGTGTGTACTTATACACGTAGGCTTTTATGAGTTTTTTTTTATTGTTATTCAAAAAAATTAAAAAAAACTGTGTAATGTAGAACGAATGGCTGATGAGTTGTGAGCTCAACGACGTGCGCATAAATTGTTAACAACCCTCACAACACCGGGGTTACCTAGATTCTATAGGACACTTCTATTTTAATCTCGATGGAAATTCTTGGACTGGATTTTGTTGAAATTGAAAGTAAAATAGAAACTCCTTGAACGTCATATTTTGTTTCCCAGATTGGATTTCGCTGGAGATACACGAGATTTATTTATGCTTCCAGTCCTTTGATAGGCTGAAAGCTTTAACTATGATGTGCTCGAGTGCAACCAACAAAAACAATATTATTAATTTGAAAATATTCAACAGGTTCGATATTATATTGATTTTAAGAGGTGATTTGTAATTCCCAACGGTATAAACTTAACGAGAAGAAATACTGATGAAATTTAATATTGTCAATTTAGTTGATGTGTCCATCAAATTACCGAATATCTTATTATCTTCACAACTAGGCGTTAGGTATACGAGTATTTGACTACTCTAACTTGTGTCTTATGGAATCATTTCATGTTATTACTTAATCTCTTTTTCTAAAGTTCCTACTGGAATGTTTAAACGTTACGGAATCTAACCTAATAGCGTAAGCCCGACTCTGCATTTGAGCTTTTAAGTCATAACATTGACTGTCGATCATTTTTAAAACGGTCGCCGACGAATGCTACCTATGTATGTCCGGTCACTATAATATGCAATTCAGTTCCCATCGCATTGTCTTCGGCGACCGTTAGTCGTCTTTGACCGTCGCTGCTGTTATTATTACATATATTATTATATAAATACACCTTATTATAGTATTATTGTTATTACGGTTATGTAATCACGGCAGTGGAAACGGCGGCGTTTGGAAACTCATTAGTTATCGTCATAGTCAGTTGCCGGCATTGTCGTTGTTGCAGTACACACTGCGGCCATCGTACGGTCGTTTTAAATATTGTTACAATATGCAGTCGATCCGGTACAGGTAGGTATATTATATTATATTTTACAGAGCCCCGGTGGTAGAGTCCGGGCCCGTCGTGGACAGAACGAAATCTGCGGTTGTGGACCCCGTGGGAGACTTAAACGAAAATAATACTTTATGGTCCATTAATTTTTTCAATAGCCGCTATTAATAACGCGTATGAATTTCACGGTGTACCTGCGGCGGGGCTACCGCTACCGCCGCCCCCACTGCCACCGTACCATCTCTAGGTATGATTTTTTATTTTCCAATCGACGCAGTCGCCAAAATCGGTTAAAATATTATATTATTATAGAGTACACGTATAGAGTTGTATTTAATATAGGTATATATAATATATATTTTTGAAAAACATTATCACAATAATTAAACAACCGTGTACGTGTGTCTATTATGCCATTATTGTTATTATTATTATTTAGTTGTCAGTAAATAAGTATAAGTATAAGACATACCGGGAACTGTTGTTAGCTAGACACACTGTTTATAATATCCGTTTTAAAAATATTTGTGTAAATAATTTTTTTTAAGAAACACACTCTAATTTTACCAACCCTAATGCTGAAATAAAATTAAAATTGTATTTAGTCTTAACAAACGTATAGGTATTTCTCGATTCTATGAAAATATTGATCAATAATTTTATGTAATTAATTATATCGGATTTTAAAATATACTTAAATAATTTAGTTATTAACTCAGAAATATTACAGCCATGAGTATTTTAAGTTGTTTCTCCTTGATCTATAATAACGATCATATGGGTAATCACTAGTCAGTTTTTTCACCGTTTCTTTGTATCTTAATGTAGTAAATCCAATTCTGTACGCGATTTTTTTTTTGTAATCAATACAATAGGATGATGAAAACGCCGTCATATGATTTGGATTGACCATAATAATCATATTGTATTATTTCATATTTTTGCACGTATATTACATTCCGTTGTCGCTTCGTCAAATGTGATACTGTGATCTTGCCAAACATAATCCGAAGCTACTATAGCTAAGTTATAAAACAAATTAGAGGACGCGCAGGCCCCTAATAATAGCCGCCCTTACTCCTAATAAGAAAAGGGTCAGAATTAGTGTAATGATTGTGGCTCTTAGGTATTTTTACCATCCCAAACTGTCAATATACTACCTATTAGACGTTTAAGCTTAATTTTTCTTACATTTGTAAACCGTGAAAACCCATGGAGTCTGTCGACTAATAACTCACGTCGGTCTTTGCCCGCAAAACGTCCCATTCTCCTCCCTGGCAAACGACTTATAAAATTGCAGCAGCAACAGCTGTTAAACATCTTTTGATCGTGTCGGACGACGACAATAACGCGCTCGTGACTTTGGCATTAAGACGTCAACCACCGTAATGACAATCTGATGGTCACTGAATTCGGTGGCAGTCGTGTAAGCCCCCAAAAACACAATGGCCATCGTGAAAATTCGACAAATTCGCGTTCGGCCGCGACCCCACAAGTACACGGTTAACTCATCGCCAGGGTCTTCCACAATAATAATAAACACAAACAATAATGTAATGAAAAACAATTTATAGGTAAACTCGGATTAACCAACGCGTTACGCCATATTAAATTCATAAAATATATTTTTGCTCGCTTGAAATGATTTTTGCTAATGGTACATTATGATAATACATATTATAAACGTGAAAGTATTCTGTACACATATTGATAGACGGGATGCACAATCGTTCATAGGTTTTTTTTTTTATAATTATCTACTACAACGGTCTAGTGGTCGCACTAGGAATTCTGTGGTAAAATAACACTATAGGCGTACGTGGACACCTCTCTCGTTTGAAGTTTCAATGTTACCCATCGTCGCCGTCGTCATCTTGGTCGTCTATCGCGATGACCTCTTTAAAAATCAAGGACATTCATACTTTTCTATGGGTAATATTCATTAAAAAAATATATATAAATAAAATAATCACATTGGCCAATAATAACGTGTCCGTGGCGGCGAGCAATAGCGCTTTTTTCTAATCTCTATAAATCTGCAACGGATGTGTCGCAATACATTTTGTTTTTATATCGTCTAAGATAGAATATTAAAACATAAAGATATTATTATGAGGTAACGGCTCGTCTGTCTGCCCTCTCTACCTGACAAATGTAAAAAGTATTTTCTTCCCTAAATAATAATTTAAAAAAGAAAAACCATAAACAAAAGAAATAAAAATATCTGACTCACGTTGCACTCTGGTCTTGTTGTTGCCGTGCCGCCGGCCGTCCCAGCTTTCCACGGTCTGTAACCTCCAGTCGAGCGCTGTGGAATCAGCTGGCGATATTGGCCTGGACCGAAGCTGAGTGGTTACTGGCACGTAACTGTCGCCGACGAACAACACCTATATGGAAAAAAACACATTATAACGATTGACAAAACCTTAGCACTTAGATCGGACGTTACCCCCGCGAAGAAAAGGTGTTCACTTATGCCACTTTTTTGTAGCTGCCAATGTCAATTAGAAAACATCGAGTCAACTAAAACAATTATAAGGAACAAGTGGAAAACGGATTATCTAGAAGTTCAGGTAGTAGCAGAGAATACGAAAAACTAAGCGGAGATGGTGTAGGTCTCTTGAATCTTACCTAGATCGAAAACAGCCAAGAAAAAACTAAATGGATAAAAAAAACCTACAGCACCTTCATTGTTAACATTCTACCACACGTGCACAAATTAGTGTGTTTAAGTAGGCTGTTTCGTTACATGGAGGGGCCCCGACCTAAACAGCTTCAGAGGAAGCCATATTACAGAGATCTTGGGCCCACTGAAATTACAAGAGCTTACCGGGCGCTTGGTCATTATTCAATGAGTAGCCGTTGTAACCATTTGTCAATTTTATTATAAATGTCCTACACGGGCATGATAAAGTACATTCGAGACCTTGAACCTATCCACCGAATGACACTACGACGGCTTGCCTACAACTGTACCTTATAATTGTTACTAACTATCTTAACAATAATTAACATTGCACTCTTAACGCATTTTCCTCCTTAAACTGCATTAGCGAGTGCGCACGCCTACTATACACGCCTAGCTGGTTTTAATGACATAATCGCTGCTCGTGCCATTGCCCATTCGTTCATATATTATTATTATTATTACTATTATTATACTCCTCTAGCCGATTATGAGGTTGTGTCATTTAATAGAAGCGCACTACGCCGACGTTACTCAATCGATTAGTCGATAGGAAATTATACACTATATATGGCAGACTGACGGATGTTTTGGCCGTTAAACGTCTGTTGGACAAGGGTCAATGATGCGAGCCGAGGGTGAAAGTCAACGTACCCATTAAAAACGCACGGTTGACTAGGAAATGTTGTAATAAACAAAATACAAGTTTAAGCACTCTGGCCCAACGCGCTTTCATATAAAATGCCACCAGTATGCATTATGAATTCGCAAACGTTCTGGTTTTGTTTCATTTTTGTAGTGCAAATATTTCACTTTTGACGGAAGTTGACAACATTATGACCGCGATGGATCTGTCCCAGAAAAACTAAGCTCCACACGAATAATTTATTATTTCAGTCACGTACTATAACTGCCCACCACTCGATCACGTATATCATACCAAAAAAAAATCCCGACTGGCCCTGTTGTTTTTACACTGTACACACACACACACACACACACACATAAGGTGGTTAACGATTCGTCGTTTATCAAGGTTATAGATCGGTTACACAGCGGCCGGGGCATAACTGTAACGTTAAAGTGTGTCAAATGAGTGAAATACAAAAAAAAAAAACCATTCTGAAGTGCTCATTTTACTCTTCTTCTCTGACAAAAACTGGTCGAATTATTTTCATCCGACCGTGACAAATAAATAGATGTGTGTATTATGTGTATCAGTGTGTGTGTCATGTGCACGTATGGAAATATTTTGATTTGGTAACGAAATGAAAAAACAAAATAGAAATATTGAAAACGAGAAAGAAGTAAAGGTTAGAAAATGATGAAAAAATAATATATTAAAAACAACGACGAAACGTTTGGTAATTTATCAGATTATCGCGTCTAGTCGGTTGCAACTTATAATAATATGAACTTTCAAATACAGCGACAAGACCACTTGACAAATGATAAGCTGTCTAACAGAATCCCATATAGCCTTTCCACGGTGCTAGACATCCGTTTAGCGTTTAAATTGTATTATCCCGAGTTATTCTCAACGACCGTCTGTCGCATTCCTGGCGTGCACTGTGCAATGTATTGTAGTCAGCAGTGTACTTTGATATAAGTTAACATACCAGAGCTGTTGGCGCATACTTTTGGTACGGTCCAACCGAAACGTTTAAATGTCCTTGAAATAAAAATTACCCTCGTCAAGTCAGGAAACGGGAATTCGCAGAGAAATCTTTTTTTGAACACGCCAAAGAGCCAATATTCGACGTCGAAGTCAAAGTTTTTAATTAAACTATTTTTCAATTATTTTTTATTCTTCTTCTTACTCGCCACTTTTATTGTAACGGTTTGAAGTCTTGACATTTTAATTGCTTGCTTTCAACTTCCAGTCTACAGCACTTACACAACACGATTTTTTATAAACATTAACAACAATTTATGCTTTTCTCATTCATAATAAACCTCAAGATTGTAGCGTAGACATAAATTATAATAACCTTAGCTAATCTATCTTTGTGACTCCTCTTATACCCCAATAACTTTATGAGCTCCAGAAGTCTATTAGTGATGCAGAGCCTAACTTGGCTTCTGACTGATTAAGTTATTTACAGTTATTTAATATATTCTTTATTATAGGCTGAGTACTATACATTTTTATGGTTACAGTACATAATAATAATTCATTTAAACATTTTGATAAAACTACATGAAACATAATACTAATACTTACAAAAAAAATATAAAACTAAAATATAGGAGTATAAAACCGAACGGTTAAACGTAAAGGTACATTATAGTGGGGGGGGGGAGGAAATGTCACAATGGGAATCATTCGTAACTCTTTTATTGAGTTCCCATAAGGGACTAACAAGAGGGTCTTTGGCTAAAAAACTAGATCTTGTTGCAGGAACTTGAAATATCTCATGATTTATAGTGGATATACAATGGATATTCTAACACTTATAAGACTAACAAGGTGAGGGGCAGTTATATTGCCACACATAAGCTTATGAATAAAAGAAATGCCAGCTTTATCCCGTTTATTCTCAAGAGGCTTTAGTTTCAAAAACCCAAGTATCGGTTTGGAATTGTAATTTATACCTTCAGTCTACCTAATGAGAAAACAAAAGTAATCTATTAAGTGTCTGAAAACATGCCAATTAGACGAATTAACATTAAATGGCAAGCATATCCTGTCCTACCTATTGACTTATTATCTTATACCCGGGAATTGAGCAGAGACTTCCCATTTACTACCCATGTTCCATATCGGGTATTCCTAAGTACTAACGTTCATGGTATGGTTCGACTGGTTTATTCTCAAGTCTTCTCGTTCACTACAACAAGTTAATCGGATTTCAATATAATATTAAAACGCTCAGTCCTTAAAGGCCTGGACTCTTATTGGGGACGTATTCGGGATGCTCGGAGAACGCCAAGAGACAGTGAACTCGGATGACGACGGGCATTATACGATATTGCTTATTAGTTTTTTGCTGTGTTAAATTGCTGTTGTAAGGAAAACTGTAGACGACCGTACCTAGCTACTGGCGTAAAAATATTACGAGCCGTTGGCGACGGCATTGTGTACTGCCAATACCATATAAACGATGCGTGTGCGTTATTAAAAGCGGTAAATAATAAGAAGAAAAACGACGAGCGGACGTGAGCCTTTCAACGAGAGAAAACACACACGCATAGACAGACATTATTCATGGAGTGTACGTGCGGTGTACTTAAACGGAGTGTGACAACATTATAACATAGCCCTAAGAGACGTGTGGGCGCGTTGTCTGTATGTTATTAAATGTCCCACGGCCAAGGATGTTTGCATGCTGTTAGTTTCAACAGTTTTTTTTTTATATTATGTTACAGGAGACACACACACACACACACGTCAGACGTTGTTTGTCATTGCCAAAAACAGATAAGCGGTCAGCGTGCAGATCTGTATAGAATTGATGTCTTTTTTTCGATCAAAAGACAATTGATTCGGTATCATTATACTCGCCGTGAGACCGTAGCGTTCGCCTCACACGGTTAATAATTCATCGAAACGGGTGTACCGTTTAAGCGCGACCGCTATGTTTATTTTGGTTTTTATTCTATTTTTTTTGTTTATATTTTTGTGCAGTCATTCCGTCAATTGTTAACACCCCGGACCGAACGTAAACTTATTAAAATAACCCACAACAATAATAATAAAAATAATAACTAAATCGAATTTACACAATCATCACGTTTTTACTACAAACGCCTATTGACAATTTACTTGTAAATAGCTGATACATAATATGATTGAAATAACTTCAGGCGAACTTCACCAAACTACTGGTCACTGGCCGTGTGGGAAACCTACCAGTCGTTTAAAACACACTTTGAGTCAGTGGAAGTCCAATCAAAATGTCTTCGAAGTCATCGATTTCAGCGTTAAAACTTATAACGTCTAAAGCAGCGGTTCGCCTGTTTTAGAAACAACACATCGACATAAGGAATATTGTTATTAAGCATCATTCGGATATCAAATCTGATATTAATATGCAAATGAAGCTGAGTTTTTTTTTTTAGACCATAAAACCTTCGCGCCAGACGATTGTTTTTTTTATCGTTGTTTCCTCATTTCACCGGAAGTTCGATTTAAAAGAGTTGGCCAGTAAGAAATAGTAAACAGATCCTATCAGCTAACTATTGTTCGGGGCACGGTGTTCGACAAATAAGCCACAATAGATTTTTTTTGTTTTTTTTTTATTAGCAATCATACTGAGAAAATGAAGCAAAAAGGCCAGGGTGTACTTAATCCGGAAATTTTATCCGAAACTGACATGTCTTAAACGTGCTCAACATGATAAATAATAGCTGTATGGTAGCGTACAAATAATGTAAAACCTATGCGCTTGACCATCACTCGAATCAACTGTGTCTACACTATTTTCCCGTGTATAAGGATTTTGAAAATATAGTTGTGTACTCGAGTGAACACTTACACAGTGACGGCGGTTTAAGTTGCACAGCATTTACTACTTATTATACACCTTTGCTAAGCGGATTTTGCCTAGTGATTACTGGAAAAAGCTGCTGTACGCCCGGCACCTGGCAAGTATTAATTATAATTACGAAGTGATCCTCCGGTAGCTCAGCGAGAAGAGAAAATATACGGTCGTCTAATATTATTATGCGCTTACCCGGGTCCCGGATCGAGGCTACAGGATGATTAACACAAAATTAGATGCACCTCACCCCTCTGATCCTGGTAAAGCTTTAAGCTTTGATTAAAAATTACATGAACTAGCTGGTCACGCCGGTGCTTTTGAAAAGAGTAGCAGGAAAATATAATTTGTCTTCCCTTTCCTTCCCAAAACGTGCTTGCGAATAATGAAAAGGTTTTTAAGGTTTAAAGGATATTTTATAGGTACGTAATATGACATCTCAGTTCACAAGATATTATTTTATACTAATATTCAATTCTCCATAAAGATATGACAGATCTAATATTTAAGTAGTAAAATATTACTTCTATCTGTCAATAATGTTTTTTAAAACCTAAATAATCGGATAAATAATACGCAGTGGATTGAAAATGTATAACTTGTAACTGTTATGTAACTTGTGTGAAGTACAACACGGTTGAGGTACTTATTGTTGTCTATTTAAATTTAATAATAATAATACTACTGTAGCTAATACATGTTTGACTACTTTTGTACCAGACACGACTTTCTGACTAACAAATATGGAAATGGAATAAATAAACAACAATTAATCGCACAAATAAGTAAATGCTCCTCTGCCTCTGGTTATGAATGGACGGCGTTTGTTTCACCTTGCTCTCCCCCCTCCCCCTTCAGAGTATGTACTTTATAGATATTTTTTTTTTATTTGATTTTTACTTACAGAATTGTGTTCGCTTCCGTCATGCGACAGAGCCTCTCGGGTGTCGTTGAGCACAAAAACATTTTCCCGACCAACGTCTTCTTCGCCAGCTGCAGTGTCATCACTGTTCGGGTACATTTCAGTCGGTCCTGCCCCACTGCCCACCACGCCGCCTTCCGTCGTAATCGACTCTTCGCACAAAGCCTGCATCTGAAAATTAACAAACAAAAAATCTCAATATCATAGGCCGTTCGTGCAAGGAAGTGTACAAATTTTCGGGTTGGCAACCAAGACAGTCGAAATTCACTTGTCCGTTAAACTTGAAAACTAGAATTTAGTTACTACCCTAACCGGTATAGGTACAGATGTACACGTTGACTACTCGCTTCTACGTTTTTCTTCATCAGCCAACGCCCACGAGTCTCGTTAGAGTCTATCAAAATTATTGCCACACAGACAGACGAGTAACCACGCATCATGATTGCTTTTTTTATTTTTATTTACCAGAATTTGATCGCGAATCCTACCGGAGTCGATGAATTCGGTCTCGACGTCGACCTTATGTTATCCAAAAGCAGTAATTACTATTGTTATCGTTAACATGGTCGGTTATTCTTATACTGACGGATCATTTCAAACGTGACGCGATCGTATACAACGAGTTTCCATCGTGGACCGAACGCCCTCACTAGAGCGTTGAAAGATTTTTATCTATGTAGGTGAGTAATCATTTGAGAGTTGTTGTGCAAAATGCACATATAGTCCACACCGAAGTACCCTTAACTGCTAATTGATTGTTTCGCAACGATAGAACAGATTAAGCGAATATATCACATCCGTCCATTTAAAAGACTAAATCGCCATTCGACTTAAAACGCGTTTTGTAACTCTAGTCTCGACGTAGACCAACCATGTTAAGAGCTGACTCGTCAAACCCATTACAAAAATTATAACGCAAGAGTTTACATAATATTTGAATAATCTATTTTGTTTCCGTTGTGTATGATGAACTGAGGCGCTTCACAGTTGTTGTCCACAGTCATTCGTGTCTGACTTGGCCAAAGGACAATCCCTCAATACATTTTCCAAATCGATACGAATAAGCTACACAAATAGTTTGGTTTAAGATCTAATAGACCATAGCAGAACCTACATGGTTTGCTACTCTATGTTATGTTAGCGCATTTACATGATTTTTCTGACTAGCATAACGTGTCATTCACTTGTAATAATCACAACGATAATGTCAAAGCCAATCGATCGACGCTCTCACGGGCTTACACAATAAGAGCAATGGATTTTGGATTAACTACACGGACGCACTTGATAATATAAAAGATTGTCAATGAAACGTTTTTGAATAATATCGTTTGGTCTCGGGTACACGTTACATGGCATTGTGTACGGACCGCGTATGCATTCATCTGGATTTTATTATTAAGTACTGTTTTTTCAAAATCCTATCCGACCACATAACAATATAATATTACCAATATTATAGGTTTATTGAGAAAATATTGTCTTCGCGCGGATGGAGAAAATGAGAATAATGAAGTTGGAAAATTCGTTTATTATTATCTCCTATCTCCAAAAGCCCTGTTATAATTTTATCCGTGGTTGTAGAAATCGAATTTATTATAGTATGTTTCTCTCGCTTAATGTTCATCAAATATTGAGAAATTAACGTCCTATTCACTCTATTCGTGGGTAACCGGAATTCATAAGAAAACTGCAATCCCGAAATCCGGCAAGAAATATCATAAAGTTACTTGTTTTCGACAAGTTGTAAACCGTAAATATGAGATAATTAGATGATAAAAATTACAAAATTACACAAATAATATTAAAATTGGCTACACCAGCTGTTGACTGTTTCGCTGGCTCGGTATTGAAACTAGTGTGTTTTTTGTTCACTTTCCTAAGCATGGGTGTGGCTGGTTCTTTTTTGGCCAATATTTGTTTACCCGCCTGTTATCAGTGCGAAAGTTTCCATCAGTTTTACGGTTGTTATTATTTAACCTTCGCCTCCGATATACCGTATAAGCTGTATAACAAAATGTACACAATCGACGAGCGTTCGATCCGCGTACCGATCATTAGGATAACAACGTTAAAATAAGGGTTGTGTTTGCACAACGTGAGCATGGTCGGAGTGGTGGGATTCGCGAAAAGAGGAAACAAAAATATGTTATATCGCGCGGAGAAAGATAACATCGACCTATAATTATTATGATTATTATTGGGTTATGAATAAGCGACGTTTTCAGAAGCGGATATGTACAGCTATGGGTTTTTTTTTATGGTATTACAATATGGAAACGTGACGATAAAAACAGTTACAACTGTTTCTCATTCTTCACGACGACGGTAACATTAGCATAATAATAATTGTTTTAATTTATTCCCCACACGTGCGCGCAATTGAACGGCGTCACGTAATTAAACAAACACAGTAGTAGTGTGTCTGGCCTGTCTGTTGTATGTGGGAGAATTATTATGTTACATTATAATATTGTATTCTCACGCGGATATCCGTCCGGTCTTCCGATCGCCAAACGTCGCAGTATATTGTACGTCATGGAAAATTTTAAATTATTATCACAAACGTGAAACGACCGCGGCACGATCGGATATGCAATGTACCGACTGAAAATGCGGACAAGGTATCTTATAAATAGCTATAAATAACAGCTATAAATAGCGTATGCCCTACAGGTACCTCTGGATACGATACGTCTAGTGGCAATATAGAGGAAGCCGTGCGGTTTGGAGGTTGGTCGACCGTAGCCGTGTGTGTTAACCGTTGCGGAGTGATTTTCTCTCGTCTGATCGCATTGACGGGTCGTGTCACTGCATGCCATTAATGCAGTTTCCGTGTACACTTTACACGTGAAAAGGACTGCGACGGATTGTCAAAAGGTCGGGCAAGAAACGCGAGTTCATTATAATATAGCCACTACAAAACTTGCGAAACTACGGCAAGAGCTTAGCATCGATCAAAGTAAAACTTTAAATGAAACGTTCCCTCCCGGTTCGCAGGAGAAATTCTGCGGTTAGATAAAAGGCTCTCGGGTAAAAGCGTTCGAGAGGCGATAACAAATTACTCCTTAGAGAAAAGTACGACCCACGACGAAAATAGCGCTATATCATCAAAGCTTGAGGAATAGTCTTAGCGAATAATTGATCCGCGTATAAGATTCTCAATTTGCGCATACAAGATATATGCAATTATAAATTTAAATATGTTTAGCAATGTTCAATACCATCTGACGTTGTTAAATCTTCAACACCAATGTCAAACATTAGAAACGTTAATAATTTATTTGTACACAAAACTTGTCATAACTTATTTTTCTACAAATTATTTTATCAATATGGGAACACGATTTACATTACGTTAACGTAGGGAATTGCCTAGTGAAAGTTCATCGAGATGAATCATCGATCTCTGCTTGTTCTCGTTGAAGCTCTTCGGTTGTAACTGCACGGACCAATTTTGATAAAAAAAAAATGTAATTTTCAGACTACGAGACCACCGCGAAGGCGAAACGACTTCCTTTAGAGTGTTATTATTTTTCTTTGTGGTTTAAGTTCTCCGCGGAGGTTTGAATTTGAAAAATTCGCATAGGTCGGAAAATATGCGACAACCGACAGTTAAATGGTATTATTATAATATTATATTCATTTCCATTGTCCCATAGAGGACAGTGTCTTTTTAGACCAGTGATGTATAACTCGAACGTGGTGTATACTCGACAGCCGTTAATTTGGTTATGTATGACCTCTTGGCTCATCTTGTTTGTCGTCGGCGAATTCGGATAGAACTAATCCAACCGACGGCGCAGATTATTTATTACATTAAATACCTACTACAATATAAATGTATACTATAATGGTCGAATGGCGGTACTGACAGAGTCTTAGGGTAAACTGAGGTCAACGAGCAAAACAAAATAATAAAAGGAAAACCGTCGTTTACGGGTGAGGCGACTCAGACTTTATTTTTTGTATTCCATCTCTTTCTGCCGGACAATAATTGTTCCGGTCTCGCTGTTTGTGATAGGTATTAATAATATTATTATAATATGAAAGGAAAACCCGTGGCCGTTAACCCTATAACAAATCGGACCTGGAAGCTTGTAATTGATATAAATATATTTTAATAAAATATGCAGCTTGTTTTTTCCCCCAACTGGGTAAAATTATTATGACAACGCGTTCTGTGCCGTGAACACAGTATAACATATTACATTACGGACAGGATCAGGTGAGTGGTGGTAAACGAAACATTATAATAAAATATGCGCGGACATAATACAAAGGTGGCATATTATATTATAATAAATTCAAAAAGTTGCTTTAAAAATGTTTTTGTGCACTCCATCGTTCATGGGGTTTGAGCAGAAAACGTTCGTCAGCTGATTTTATTACTGCAATCGCTATAATTATTTCGACTACCTAACCTAGTTAGGGCCGCCTTGGACAGTAATTTATGCTCAAAATAATTTATTGTGCTATTTGGTTGTTCGAACAATGACCGCATGCGGTTCGTGTACATACTTTTTTGAACGTATCGAAGATAAATTATTAATAGATACACTAATTTACTGGGTTAGCTAAAAAAACATTTTAGTCAGCACAGTCAATTTTTTGTCGATAATAGTTTTGGAAAGGGTAAATTGGATGCTAACAAAACAATTTACAAGTTTAAAAATTCTGACCTTAGGAAAATCCTAACATAGTAGTTAAATCATGCAATACCTGCTATGTTTCTGAACGTAAATTAATAACTCAACTGCCAAGTTTAATTTAACAAAAAAAAAATGTAAATCCCGTAACGTCCGTCAGTCAACCACTCTAATATTGAATCTCTAAATCTGTAATGATTTTTAGAGAAAATGCGTTTCTTATCCTTAATATTTTTACCAAATGTTAACCTAATGTTCTTACTTAATGTATCCTGTTTTTACATGTCTGTGTATTATCAAAATATTACCAATTGGGCTCAGATAGTTTATTGGATTTGGCAGTTTTTGGTTGTACAGCTGGCTGCCAACCTAACGTAGCGCTTACCAAACAATGAATCACCCTGTATTATTTATATTACACTGTATTTTTTTCAAGAAACTTTATTTTTTTCCAATTTTTTTAAAACTTTTATTACAACTGATTATGCTATTGTTGTTAGTTTTTTTTCTGTTTGTTAACTA